TTTGGCGACGTCGACAATTGCAGTCCTGCAGCCAAGATGTCGTGCTGTCGTCAAAATAATTGTGTCCGTAAGAACGTGTGTATTTAAAATTTGACAGATGCTGCTTGTCGCTTGCTGTCGTCAAAGTGTTCCGAGCTTAAGGCGAAATTGGCACATCTTCAAAAGACGCCCAAGCAAAAAAAAAAAGAAAATTAAAAATTTCCTGAAGTTGCCTTTACACGGGTCGATTTCTGTCAATTGGAAAATTGACTAAGATATCGACTAGCCAAAACGCTTACTATTTACGGTTGAATTGCAATTTACACGGGTAGATTTTGGTTAAACGAAAAAAATCGACCGTGTAAAGGCAGCTTAAATAACGTTCAAATTAATCATCCCCTTTGAGATGGAAAATACCAATAACCATTTCATAATATCGAAAACTATTCCAATTATATTTGTTCTTGCATTTTCCGCACCACTTGTGAGGTATGCTTTTAGGCGCATTACCGATTTTTTTTTAAGGTGCTGTGTTCCCCAGGAGGCCTATTTTCACCTTTATAACTTAACTTAAAAAGAATTAAAACTAAAGCATGCAATATATAAAGAAAATTAAAAATTGTCTTACATCTAGTAAACTTGAAAAATTGCACATTAAATTCATTTTGCATGTTAAAATAAAATTAAATATCACAATTCAGTTGAAGTGTATACATATGTACATATTTACAAAATGTGGTCTGTTTGCACCCACAGTAAGTTCCCATGAAGCCTAGCCCAAATTCAGAACTGAAAAAAAAAACGAGCAAATGTGGTCGGAAACTACTAGCTTTAAAAGCTTAATGTGGAAAATGTTTGAAGAGCTGCGAAACTGTATTGCAATAATAAAAATAACAGTGCATAAATTGGAAAAGTAGTTTTTGTTTTGCTTGATAATTTTTGGGAATATTGGTTCAGATGGAATCTTTTTATTTAATTGGTTTTTCAGCTCATTAATGATGCACCCAGAGTTGCATTTACTGTCTATGAAAATATTTCATGAAGCGTTCCAAAATTAGCTCCGAGCAACTAAAAGTTGGTTAAGCTTAAATGAAATAGCTTTTTATTAAATATTTATTATTATTCCTGGTATTTAGTAAAAATCATTCAGATCAATACTAATGTATGAAATGAAATTAAATAAAAATCTACGAATACATTTCACGAATATTTTGTCATAGAGCCATTATTAAATACAGATATAACTTTGTCGGGGGTTGGTGCTGACCTATATAGAATTAATGCGTTAGAGAGAGATAAATATACAAGCTCATCGCGCTAATTTAGATATACTTGTATACCTGTTACTCGTCTTGCATATACTCCAACTGCGAAAATAATGACAATTATAATTTATTTAGATGCATATTTTAGCTATATGTTATATCGTCGCCTGGATCAAAGATTGTCACAAGTTACTTTCGGTAACTCACGATTGAAGTTTGGAATGCAATTTCTCAGAAACTAGACTACAGATTTTCTCCAAAGTGTCGGAGAGTAGTTCATGAAATTCTTAAATTATCTTATTTTTTTAGTTTAGTGTCAACCATTTATGAGTTTAATAAAATTTTGTCGTATACGGCATTTGTCAAAAAATTTGCAGTCAGTTTCAATGATATACGCCGAAATGTGATAACAATTTTTATAAATTAACGATATTTTTTACTAGTCAGCCTAATCGTGAGTTTCGCCCGAACCAAATTCCGCCAACAATTTTTTCATCCACCTGTAGTGAATACACGCAAACTAAAAGTGAAAAAGTGACCCGGTTCTAGAAAATGAAACTCATGATAAAGCTGAATATGTCGGAAACTAGAGAAGAACAGATAACTCTATTTGAAAAATCTTGATTAGTTTAGTACGACAGCAATACTAACGCAATTTGTACCAAACAACCGAAAACTTTTAGTCAATTACTCGGAAACTAAAGAAGATATCCAAAAACCACAAATTGTCAAAATGACGCTTCCGGCAATTTTCCAACCAAGCGACGATATTTGAATGTTACTAGCATATTTTCGAGCCTGTATGTAAATTTTCGGGAGAAAGGTTAAAAAGTATATTCATCTGCTGAAAAGATATTTTCGCAGATTCACAATTCATTTAAAATAAATCTATCAGCCCTATCTCCAATTCCATGTGAATAAATCTCTGCAGTGCTTAAATAATTTTCACCACATTAAATAGCTGCACAACACCCTAATTACCGAAAAAGCGTTGCTTGCAACACTAGTCCTTTATGGGGACCAAACTTGGTGAAAAAAAATAGCTAAGTTTGTTTACTGGATATACTGAGGACCACAGTATATAAAGTAATAAACCTTTTCGCAGTTTTTCACCATTTGGTCCCCGAGGAGTACTTTAGGGTTGTGTGCAGCATTTTCGTTTTGCGCGCACGGCAACACTTACTGTGGGGAATTTCGCATCATGATTAGGAAAAGTTCACTCGAGGATAAAATATACATAATTATGTGTTATTTATGAACAAAATGTAGGGGAAGTATAATATTCATCTGTAATGTATGCTGATATTCATGCTTAATGAAGAATAATATTAATAGTTAAAAACGTAATTAACGCTTGTTTTTTATAAACTGGAAAACTTAAATCGTAGTTATTAGCATTGAATGGAGTTTTCTTAAATGTAAGTTTAAAATAAAAAAGTCCATTGTAAGATTATATTTTTATGAAAAGCGTAAATTTTGTGAATTTATCAAGCCAAATTCTAAATTTCCGAATATATTTAAGTTTTTATTTAAAAAAAAACCAGGTTTGTATAGTTATACAGACCCCAATGCCTGCCAGCGCATGCGCCCACAGTCCACACCCAAGTTTGAGTGATCTACAAGTTACAATCGTTTTTAGCATATGAACTATGAACTATCTGTACTAGTATCTATAACAATAGACAATAATTTTCAATGTTTTTACACTTTTGCAATTAGTTTCGGGCACTATTACACAGTCATGACTTGTGCCACTCTGCCATATACTACGTTTATACGTAAGCTATTGGCAAATAAAAATAATTTGCAAATACCTAACTCACTGTTTATTCGATGGTGAAAATTTCTTTTTTAATATTGCCGGATTATAAAAAGGCAATAATATGACCATCGAAAAGGAAAATAAAGTTAAAAATGGCAACGTCTTGATTATAAAAAGGCAATAAGATGACCATCGAAAAGGAAAATTAACCTAAGAATGGCAGCGTCTTGCGCTTATTTGCAAATAGTGCCACTAATCAATACTTATTTGCATGATTTAGTTATTTGCAAATAAAAAAATAACTCAGCGTTTATACGGC